AGAGTAACATAAAAAAAATATTTTCTACTTTCTCTAACCAAACACTAGAAAATATTTTCTTGAAAAAGTTTTTCACTCACGAACCAAACAAGGAAAAATAAATTATAAAACCATTCATTTTCAATGTAAAACATTTTCTTTCCTACCAAATACACCCTCAATTTAAAAGTCATGATATTTTCATCGAAAAAACCATATTGTCTTGTACGCAGGGCGGGTCCACACAAAACATACTTATTAGGTTGACCCGATAAACTTAAAAAAATAAGTAAACATTCCTAACAAATTCTGTATTAATAGTACTTATATTATTTTGAAAAGTTTAAGAATTTCCTAAAGAGACATGTGATTGCGACTCTTCTGACTTTTTGTACATATAAATTTTCATCAACCAAAGCTGTCATCGCAGATTTAATTATTTTTGGTCGTATATAATACTTTTAATATAATATAGATGAGATGATTTATAGAATTAAAAAAAAAATTATCAAAACTTGTCGAGAAAATATATTAGAGAAAATAACAAATATTAATAGGAACTCACATCGGAGGTACAAGTTAGGTCTGAACATAAGTTTGAAATTCTTGTTCAACGTGCAGGATTTTATTTTTTATTTTTTTTAGCCACCTTCCTGATTGGGGGGTTAGGCTAGGATTGATTAATATAAACATAATTGTTTTATTGTTTATTTGTTAAATTTAATAATCCCAACCACAACTATGAATCATCACTCCTTTACTTCATTTTCTCATTTACACCATCTTCTTTCCTATTCCTAACTCCTCTACTCCAAAACCATAAATTCAGAACAATTAATCTTTTCTGCAGCGGCTTTTCTTAGTGCAAGGTGAGATTTTCTGTGGTTATTTGAAAAAAAGTCTGACCTATTTCTTGAGCCTGTTTTTTTTTCTTTTTAAATTTATTGTAATGATTTTTATTCTTTTTAAAATCTCGTTAGTCTGATGTTTATGCTTTGCTAATGATTTTCTTTCCAAGAAACCCCCACCCGATCTGGTAACTTGAATTTTATCCTTATAGTGGCTAATGAGGCCTTAAACAGTAGTACTATAGGCATAAAAATGAAAAGAAGTTGAAAAAATGACACTGTATATATAGCCGTTATAAAAATAATAGTCGAAAAAATATATAAAATTTATTTATATAAATATACATTATGTATGTTATATAAAAAAATTATACAAATTTTATACACTTTTTTTGACTACCAAATATAACTAGTTTCTGGCATGAAATTCGTTAAAACCCCAAAATAATGAACAATGATTGGTATATGTTGGTATCAACGAGATCTACCAAGATTACTTTTGGGTTTTTTTCACAAGAAATAAAACCAGATAGTACAGGTAGCTAAATTTTAAAGATATTCATGTAACTTCTATATACTACTAGAATAAAAGAAAATTTTACACTATCATGCTATCTACAATGTAATTACAGGTAATCATCCATAAAAAAAAAAGAACTAATTTAGTAGCCTTTTATTTAATTATCCTTATAGTTAGGGGTGTTCATAAAAATCCGAAAAATCGAACCAAACCGAAAACCAAACCAAACCGACCTAAAAAACCGACACTTTTTGGTTTGGTTTGGTTTTGGTTTTGAAATTTAATAACCGATCAAATTTGGTTTGGTTTTGGTTTTAATAAAAAAAAAAAAAACCGAACCAAACCAAACCGAATATAAGAGTAACTATTTTAAATTTAAAATTACACCTATATATATGTGTACTTTTATACAAAGTTTCAAAAATTTTATAGTAAATGTTAATCGTTTGCACTTTTAGTACAGTTCTTTTAACTTTACATTCTAGTTTGATTGGTAGTTTTCTTTTGTTAAGTGTAAGAATCTATTTCATGTTAAAAATAATATATTTTTAATTGAGTCCTTAAATTATTCATCAATATTTGATTCAATTATCATCAATATATTTTGGTAAATAATAGATTTTTCAAAGGGCAATTGATTTGATAGTGTTACGTTAAAAATGTGGTCGCCGAAATATGTGTTTGGTAGTTTATGTCTTATATTTAAGAAAAAAACCGACAAATAACCGAAAAAACCGAAAAACCGAATCGAGAAAAATTCGACTTAATTGGTTTGGTTTGGTTCTAATATTTGAAAAACCAACTTAGTTGGTTTGGTTTCTTTTTGGGAAAAAACCGGTCCAAACTGGACCATGAACAAAACTATAAGTTATAGCGGCTAATGAGACCTTAAACAATAGTACTTTAGGCATAAAAATGAAAAGAAATTGGAAAAATGACTCTGTATAGCCGCGGTAAAAATAATAGTCAAAAAAATGTATAAAATTTGTTTGTATAAATATACGTTATGTATGTTATATCAAAAAATTATACAAATTTTATACACTTTTTTGGCTATCACATACAATTTGAATAAAAGAGAATGGCCTAACAAAGATCTCATATGTTTTGTTATGATTTCCTGTATTATATTTTATTAATCTTCATGAATAAAGGTCATATAACAAAAGGATACTTGTAATATGCCATCAGACCATATGTTATGTATATGTGAAAACACCTCGTTAATTTGAAACCATTTTCAAATTGTTTTTGGAGGTTAGGTTGGCATCCCGCTCAATCCAGTTTGAAGTCATCTGAACCTGATACTTTGCTCCAGATTTCACTCGGCTTCTACTTCAAACTCATCATCCTCCATAGTTCACATTCATATAGCGGGACTTTCCAAACGAAGAATTACCTCTTATCCAATTGGTCTTATTTTAATTTGACGTGAAGAATAGAATGTCTTTCAACAACAGGGAAGGGGGAAAGAATAAGTTTCTGTACAGGGACAACATGGGAATCAAGAAGAAAAGGTACTTCATAAGATTTAATTTGAACATTACGCGACAACTCTTTGCCAATCGAGCAATCAATTCTAACATAATAATATTTATTTCTAGCAGCCGAAGAGAGACAAAGCTAATTGACATGGAGAGCATTCAGGGTGGTGAAAGATCTCTTGCTGATGCAACTGCTTCTACCAAACATAGTCTTCCATCAATGGAAGAGGAAGTAGTTGGTTTTGAGGATGATACAAAAAGCATAATTCAACAATTGACTGGAGGAACAAAGGAACTAGACATTATCTCGATTGTTG